ACCATTTAGAAGAAAAAAACCCCCAGCATGTTTTACTATAGATTTTAGATCTAGGGCGCCGCCATCTTGGAATATCGCTGTGTATAACTTCACGGGGTTGGTTCTGTTTCCTCGGCTGAACAGATACAATGAAAGTAAAGGAGTGAACACGAAGACTGGATAGCCTAATTTAACCCAATGCATGAAGTTGTGGATGTGAAAAAGAGCTTGAGCAAATCCAACAAATACAAGCGCTTAAGAGTCTTGAGTTGTATATATTTCTTATTTTAATACCTTTCGTTTCATGCGCTGTGCTCCACTCCCTTACGCTGCTCCAGCACAGAATGATGAGGTGATTTACATTCAGACTAATGCAATGATTAAAATGATGCATAACTTCACGCTTTACTAAGTCATGTCTTTATGGATTGTCAAGACATGTCGATCAATTCGATCTCTCAATATGCATGAAGGATTTAAAAACCTGCCATGTGAAAAACCGTACAGATCTTAGTTTGGTTTGAACATAAAAAGAGGCAAGGGCTGCAGTCTCTGTGTTCAGTCCATTATATCCACTGCATCTGTTCAGCTGAGGGAACAAAACCAACCCTGTGACATCATACACAACGATATTCCAAACTGGTGGCGTCCTTGGTCTAAAATCTATGGTAAAACATGCTGTTTTCTGCTAAATGGTTAAATGAATCAAGTTTGTTATATATATTTCCATTAAATGGAAATCAATTTACAAAATAATGTAAACTGAAATGAAAGCTTCATTTCCCCTTTAAACCTGAAATTCAGCATTACAATCAAAATACAATAAAAACAACAGGAAACAAAACAGTAGAATCATGAGAACACAATTATAGAGACAATTCAGATTGAGAAAGTAATATTATGATTATTTAGCTTAAATTAGAAACTCAGTTTCACATTTAGTTCACATTTAAAAGTCCCATTTAAGCTTTAACTTAATTGCCAATTACATCTACTGTACAGTACATTGACACATTTCATCACGAGGAGTGCAAGCGCTTGTAAATAGAAATGACTTCGTAAATGTAACTCCAAATGTCATAAACTGATGCATTTACCAAAGTCACAGAGTTTTCAGTATTGTGAGTATTAGGCTTGTACTATACCAGGAGAATATGTGATGGATATTGTTGTTGAGTATTGTGATTTAATGTCTTTTGATGTATCTTTTGCCTAAGGAAATGCTTTTAAAGAGCCCCTATTATGGATTTTTGAAAATGACCCTCCATGCAGTGTGTAACAGCTCTAAGCTAAGTGAAATATGCCGCTAAGGCTTAAATCTGAAAGTGCACAGTGTTTAAAACTATTGATATGTCTATAAAAGAGTTGACTCAGAGCGGTTCAAATGAATTGTCGGAGTAACGAGTCTTTAGCAGTGTTGGTGTAATGTCAATATGGAACTCAAGCCCCGTCAGTTTGTTGTGAGCACAGGCCTGGTAAAATCGAAACCCTTGGCCCCGGCCACACCACTGTAGAAAGAAAAAGAGGAAGACAAACACTAGCAGATCTCGGTTAAATCATGTCGCGAAGACTCTGTGCTCTGAAGTGTGAGGGAAAGTTTGTGTTATTTTTCCTACCCAAACATGAGGCTATGAAGAGTCAGTGGTTGAAGTTTATTTTTGACAGAATACCTCAGCATTATAGGCCCAGCCTTGTGCTGTGTTTCCGTCATTTTTCTGACGAGTGCTTCTGGAGTCTACATGCTTAAAACAAAATTTGTCAATGTTTGTTAAAGAAAGGATCAGAAAAAACTATTGATGTAAGGGACTTTGTCAGAGCTTGACATGAACTTTATCAGTACACAGTTCATGGATCAGTTTCTTCCCCCATTTCACAAGTGTAAATCTCCTTGTTTTCTCTAGCTTGCAAATTATTTATTTGTGTTTTGTTACTTGTAACTGCTTGTACTGTATCTGGTCAACTCTTTATATTCATATATCAAAAGCCACGTTGAAAACGGCAATTGTTTACGGATTTAAATGCGTAAAATTATGTGAGTTTTCCGGGAGAAGCAACAAAACAGAAGTATGGCGGTAGATAGGTCTGAAATACAGGAGACTCCCGGGATAAACGGAAGTGTTGACTCTACTCTCTGACTACTTAAAAAATGTTAAGCCGTGGTGGGCATTTCTCTCTGTCTCGCGCTTAACGCAGTTGACTAATCACAATGTACTGCGTCATCGGACCAATCAGCTCAGATTAGGATCGCTCTAAGGAGAATTTGGGAACAAATAAATCGCTGAACGAATCGTATGGGAGTTGCTGGAATAATTAGGTAAAAACAAATGCCTATTATAAAACAATATAAGTGTTTTTTGACCTTCCATGCGGATCAACCTGTTGTTGGAGACTTCCAAAACCAAAAAAAAAAAACCCTTTTTAATGTATGATAGGGGCTCTTTAAATAAATCTATGTAATACTAGAATAAACAGCCAATGAATTTAAGTTTCTGATCTTAATTAATCTAATTAAGGGTTAAAAGAAACTGTCAAGATGCAAATATTTAGATTTTAACACACTATGAATGACTGATTATATCAGCAGGTCTTTGGATTGTTGGGTATTATTACTGACCTTGGCTGTGTCCGAAACAGCATACTTCCATACTGTCCAGTACGCTAAAATCAGTATCCGAGCTGAGTAGTATGTACGAATTCATAGAATTCGAAAATCAGTATGCGAGGAGTACCCTGATGACTTACTGCTTCCGGCATATGCTGCGCTATCCCATGATGCTCCGCGAGCGAATTCATAAATGGGAGTGAAGCGATGCAACTGAAGCAGGTAGGTCACGTGACCATGCCAAAATGACAGATGTAGTACGTCTGAATTCCATTCATACTATTCACATTCATATTGTATAGAACTTACTTTTTTAACGGCAGAGTAGTATGTTTAAATTCAAATGCAGTACCTACTGAGTAGTAGGTGGTTTCGGACGCAGCCAATGTTTGCATTGACATCAGTAATCTAAATATTTTCCTTAATTTGATTAAGACAATAATATTTTTTGAGTATATTTTTTGTTCCTTTCATGTTCCTATTTTACTCATCAGTTTGACTTACTGTCATTGTGTCACCATTCAATGCTAGTTTCTTCTGTCGTTTTACGCAACAACAGTTTGTGTTCATCATGATGGCACTGTATATGATTTTGGCTGCTTTGTTTTTAATTTTGCGACAGATTCAACTGAAGTAAATTTCAAACAGACCATGGCGGATACAAATTCTCAAGCAACAGGCCACCTCTGACATTTCATTCACTAACTTTTCCTTCATGCCTCCGCAACAAACTCAGAGGCATTCATAATGTCCATTTCTTCCAGAATTCTCAGCATATCATTGTTTCCCACTCGCTCAAAAATGTGTTCTTTACTTGAAGCTATTCTCATTTGTTTGTAGCAAATGCCTAAAATCTGCCTTGTGTGTCAATAAAATGTAGCTTAAAGGACTATGAATGCTAATAGTTTAATTGCAGTGTTTAGTTTTAGTTTGATTATGACTTTGGTTGGTTTATGGTCATCAAAAATTGCTGTTTATATGGAGGACACTTAATCAGAGTATTGTCTTAATCGTATTAAAATTGGAGTATTGTTGTCCATGTAAACATTGTCCTCTCTTGTTTAGATTTTTAGCCTTTAAGGCCAGAACACACTAAACAGATGGTCGGCTGCTGGACTTTTTGTGTCTCTTAGTATTTATTTTCAGCTCTATTTTGAGCCTCTCTGTACACCTTTGGGCTGATCTGGCCAATAGCAGATCAGCTTCTGAGGAGGTGAGTGTTCCAACTGATTGATCAAATTTGGACTAACCATTTATGCATGCAACTCAAATGCTTAGCACATAAAACAAATTACATTTTTCACTCCCCTGTTATATTTATATTACACACATACAACAACCTCTAAAATATTGGGTTGTTTAACCCAATGTTGGGTAAAATATAACAAAGTCATTGTGTTAAGTGTATTTCAACTGTTTACACCTCCCTGTTATATGGATATTTGATGTAATACACCTTAATTGCTGTGTTGTTTAACCCAATGTAGGGGCAAAAATGGGCAAACCAAGTCATTGGGTTGTGTATTTACGTTTTTCACATCTATGTTATATGGTTATTAGATATGTACTACACCCTACAAAATGCAAAGTTGTTTTAACCCAATGTTGGATCAAATATGGGCAAACCAAACTATTGTGTTGTTTTTTTTAATTTAATTGAACAAATGATGTCCATATCTGACCTAATTAGGGGTTAAAACAAACCCAGATTTTTTTGGTGTGTGTTTTACATGGCTGTGTGGAAAAATTGATTCTGATTGGTCAGTCACGACATTCCAAGATATGTTATTCCCAACAATGGCTAAATAACACAAGATCATCTGGGAACTTTGAATCACATTCACTGTCAGAGAATATTTTCATGGTCATAACACTGCATCCACATTTATGTGTCTGCTTGTCTGTCATATTGCAGTTTTTGGCTTTTTTGACTGTTCGACTTTTTTTTTTTTTTTTTGTCTTGTCAATGAATAAATTGTCGGTTAGTGTATGCTCCATCAGCTGTTTTTGTTTCTGTCAGCTTTGTGTTTTTGACTGTTTGGCGCCATCTTCTGTAAAAATAATATGTAGGTTAGTCTATATTCCATCAGCTGTTTTTGTTTCTGTCAGCTTTGTGTTTGACTGTTTGGCGCCATCTTGTGTATAAATAGTATGTAGGTTAGTGTATATTCCATCAGCCGTTTTCGTTTCTGTCAACCTTGCATTTTCGACTGTTTGGCGCCATCTTGTGTCTGAATAATGCGCAGGTTAGTGTATACTCCATCAGCTGTTTTCATTTCTGTCAGCTTTGCATTTCATTAAAGAATGAATAAACTATTGTGGCCTAGAACAATGTTTTGTTTCCAATTTGTATATGTTCTGGCAGGTGCCCATTTGATTTTGGAGAATAAAGACCTTCAGTCTTATACAATAGTGCTCTGCTTCACTGTCAGGCTTTATTCTGAGACAATCCTTCTTGATGTACTTTTTTCCTAACTTATAACAATATTTTTGAAGTATTATGCAGCTCTAGCAAGCAGCACGTTTACTGTTAAAGAAATGTAAACAGTTCAAATTAGAATGCTAACTAGCAGAACCAGAGATGATGTTGTGTATTATTTGTACTAACAACACAGGTGCTAAATTGGTTGAAGACGAAAGAGTGTTTGGGTTGTTGCAAGCTGTTCAAAAATCTGGTCTAATGTTTGTGTCAGATGAGTATGAATATCTTTCTCTCCTTTTTCTCAGTTAGTGTCCATATCTTCATCCTCTGAATCCTCAACAAGGAGATCGGCGTGCTGGGTGTAGTCAAATGCAGGGAAGCTTATGGACAGCTCTCTCCATTTGCTGAACGTCTTCTTCTTGGAGCCGTATGTGACCACAAAGTTCTTGATATGAAGGCAGGGACATTCAGTGCTTCTGTACAGCATCATTGAACCCCATTGCTGTTCAAGAATGAGACCAAATGTAAGTTTTGAATTGTGTAAGGTCATTCAGAATGTCCATTTATAAGTAGTAATAAACAGCCAGTTAATAGGTAAATCCTAATGGGTAATAAAGCACTAGTTAAAGGTGAATTGGTACTTACACTAAGAATTTACAGTAAAACTTTAGTTTGAGGTTGACTACTTATTTTTATCTAGCTTTAAGACAGTTCTGTGAACATATGTGTCCGTTTCCTGCTTAAACTGACTTTTGCCAAACCACAGTTGATACTCAGCAGTATTGCTAAGACTGTTTATTTGAAGGGAAGAGCTGAAGTCAGCTTTAGCACATACCTGTCCACATTTTTTGCACGCAATGACTCCGTTGGTCTCGTAGTCCAAGAGTCGCTCCTGTAGTGACGCATTCTCTCGGACTATGAACAGCTTTCTGCAAACATCGATAACATTTATTTTATTCTTCACCGCTGTCATCATGCAGGACGAATATCATTGGCATTCAATAACATTTATTATTCTTTATCACGGTCATTATGCAGGATAAACATCATTGGTTTTGAGTTGTTTGAGAATGCAAAAACAGGTATTTGTTAGGGCTGCACGATAGTGGAAAATGATGCGATATTGTTAAGTATTGCAATAACGATATAACATTTCCCTAGAAAAATGCTATGTTTGTCAGGGTGTCTGCAATGGGTCACGAAACGCCAAAACACATTTTTTGAACTGTTGACAGTCATATACAGGTATGTGTCCCACACTGCTAAAAATACTAATAGGACACATATTTCACAATTTTTATTTTTTATTTTTGAAGCTGCGTCCTGGCCATGGGATCTTAGCGTGCATTCCAGCGTGTAGACTGGACGTCTGTACCTGGGAGTTCCTTATTGCATCTCTAAGTGTGCTGTATTCATTCATGAGTAAGACTTGGTTCAAACCAATCAGCGCGCTCTATTGTGTATGCGGTTCAACTTCATTAATATGCATGATAGCTTCCAAGACTGTTTTTACCTGTTATAGTGTTCAGAGGGCTGAGAGACGACACGTTGTGTTGCCAAGCGGGAGAACATAAACTGTTTGGAGATACGGGTCGTCAGTGTTGCTTTTATAATTTGCTGCAGTGAAGGTTTTGTTTTTATTTTCCCTCAATGAGAGCGCAGCTGGACTCGTGTCTACGTGTCTAAAAAACGTTTTTTTACCCAAGAGCTTTTCTCATCTTAAAAAAAGGTTGAAATCCGGATTTGCCGCTCGTCTTCATTTAATAAAGATGCGGATCCAGTTTGTTGATTGTCCTGTACAGATTTGGTAAGTGAGCGATCAGTGGTCTTTGTTTGTTTATTCAGAGGCAAAGTTGGTTCTTATCGTCAGCAGTACTCTTTCTATGTACCTTAGTTAAATGATTTCCAAGTTAATAAAGGGTTTACCGTACGTTAACATCACTATAATATTATGGACTGAAAAATCTGCTGTAAATGCTGCTCTCCCGAGTGTAAATGTGTAAGCACTGCAACCAAACTTACCATCGTGGAGGATTTTCGCCACATTTTGTGACAGGAATAACACACACGGCTTTCTGACACTACCTACCGAGTGCATCTAAGTAACTGAGAAATGCGGAGTTTTTTTTTTTTCTTTCATTCGCTGTTCGGTACCAAACATTGCATGAAAGATACGACGCTTCAAGCAATTCCTTGAATCAAATATCTCGTTTGTCATAAGGGGCATGAATGAAATTCCTGAATGAAAGAGCCAAACTGCAGTTAAAGTCCACCATTTAATAATTTGGCAAATAATTTGATTACTGATGTCCATGTAAACAGTCACTGTCTTTCTCCTCTGCATCTGTGTTTGTTTTGCCTGTGTGTGAAAATCAGCGCATGCCCAAACTGACACTCCTATTTTTATGCAAATTTTTACGGGCCATGCCTTTTCCCCTCCCCCGACACTCCCCCCTAAACCGAGCTGGACACGCCCACTTTCCTGGCTTTTTCCTAAGTAGAGATATGAAAACACCCTGCTTAAACGGGGGTTTCATGGCCCTTTAAAGTCTTAAATTCCATGTTATAAAAATAAGGCCTTGATTAGTCTTAAATCATTGTTTTAATGCATTCGAACTGAGCCCTTAAAAATATTTTTTTTTCTGTCTTAAAAATGAAGGTATTATTAGTCAGTTTAAAGATTGTTTTGAGTTTTTTTTTTACTTTTTCTATATAGTATAGTGTGCTAAGCATGGCCTTTAATTAATTGTGTTGTGTGCTTTTTTGGTAATTTTGCGCTATGAAATTATTATACTTAACAACTGGTCCTAAAGGGCACCTGTTTAACCTCTTTTTCAAGATTTGAGATAAGTCTCCAGAATGTGTCAGAATAAAGTTTTAGCTCAAAACGCCCATCAGATTATTTGTAGAGAATAGAATATAATATTTTCTGCTCTGAACACTATGTAGCTGTTTTTGTGGCCTGTGCCTCTAATGCTAGTTCTCCCCACCCACCGTTCCCATGTGCCTATCAGAGTGTGCCTTAATCTTTCTGGCTATGTCAGATAAACAGCACAGTGACACATGAAGGAAGCAGATCTTGCGTAACATCTGAGAAATACTGCAGCAAGAACTTTCCCAATGATTATTTGATGTATTTGTTGTGGAGTTATCAAGTTGATGAGAATGATGAGTCGCACACAATGTTGTTACAAAATACACGCACACCCATTTAACTTTGCACAGCAAATGTGTCCACACATTAATATCCACTGCTGTATGAATATCTGGTATGTTAATGTACAAAATAAACCTCATTTAACCTCCACAAACTGGGATTGAAGTATATTTTACAAATGTACTGACACATGCCTGCGATGATGAATTACATCGATTTTACCATCTTTAACTCACTTTATTAGAAGCATGCACTGTTTTAAAATCATTTTAAACTTGTCAAACTCATTCTTGATCACATTTGAGCACATTCAGTCTTGTTGATAGGATTGTATGCCTTACTACAAAGACATGTTAATATGTTTGCATCCTATTTTAACGTCAGGAAATAAAAAAAAGAGACTAATTGCGTTTATATTACCACAGAATTGCTGTGGACACACTATACCTACACACTTCCAGGTATAGTTTCTGGAGGAGCTGATAAACTTACAGAGCTGGGTGCACCTCTGAAAAAAATTAAGTGGACTCAGACATGGCGCCAAATGAATATATGCTGTTTTTCAGCCTTCCTAAAGGACATAAAGCACAGCTACTATCTTAATAAAATCCATGTTAACCATTTAGCGAAAGAAGCAAGAGCCACCGGGCAGAAAGAAGCCCTGTCCATTCATGTTGAAGAGTGTTCTTTACATTAAACAGAAATTGGGGAAAATGCATACACGGGGCGTATTACTCAGACTTCAACTGTTATATTGCATAGGATTACCGCCGTCACATTAAGTTTGCCATATATTGTGCAGCCCTGATTTCTAATGATAAAGTCTGTGGGTTTTTACCTGAACTGTTTGGTAACGTTGACATGGTGCATCTTCTCGATGATCTCGATGTCTTCTCCAGAGCACACAAACACACTGCACTGCCTGCAGCTCAGGCTGATTTTAGACGGCGGCTCCTTCATCATTCCCTTCTGCTGTTTCTTTTTGGTCTTGACTTTCTCCTCCATTATGGCCTGGATCTGAAACTCCATGATCTACATAAAACAAAATATTCCTTATAAACTCCACCTGAAGATTCCTGAAGGTCTAATAACATTTACATTTAGTCATTTAGCAGATTCTTTTATCCAAAGTGACTTACAAATGAGGACAAGGAAGCAATTTACACAACTATAAGAGCAACAATGCATAAGTGCTGTAGACCAGTGGTTCTCAAAGTGGGGGTCGGGACCCCCCCGAGGGGTCGCGGGGCAATGAAAGGGGCTCGCCTGGTGATTTCCAAAAATCTATTTATTTTTATTAAACCATAAGAATTCACATATTTTATCCATAACTATACTGAAAATAAAAATAGTCGTTTATAGTTACTATATAGTTACTATAGAAGCTTATATTTACTAGTTCTATTGGATTGCGACCCCTGGGGTAATTACAGTATATTAAAGGCAGCAATAGCGTCAGATGCATTTTGATTTTATAACATCAGGTTGTACTTTCTGGCACATTTAAAGCACTGACACAAATTTAATTGGTGTGTCTGCGTCATTGCATGCAAGGTTTCTGTATTTATAACCACCTCAGAGGATATTGGGGGTCGCGAGTCACTGGCATTGTTATTTTGGGGTCGCGGGCTGAAAAGTTTGGGAACCCCTGCTGTAGACAAGTTTCAATTGTGAAGTCTAAGAAGGAAAGCGTTGGTAATGCAAGTTTTTATTTATTTATTTTATTTTTTTATTTGGTTTATTTATAATATCGATTTCCGCATTAGCTCTCTTCTCACACTAAACTGAGAAGTGAGCAGTGGTCAACTGCTCTACTTAAGGGGCTGACAAAAGTCTTGTTGTGGATCTCACTTGTAAGAACAACAAATAATAACTTGATTTCTAGTAGATCATTTGGAAAAGTGGCACAAGGTGGATTTTTCTGCTGAATCATCTGTTGAACTGCATCCCGATCATTACAAAATGCAAAAGACTAACTGGAACCAGCATGGACCCAAGATTCTAACATAAACAGTCAAGTTTGGTGAAGGAAAAATCATGGTTTGGGGTTACATTAAGTATGGGGGCGTGTGAGAGATCTGCAGACTGGATGATCAACATCAACAGCCTGAGGTATCAAGACATTTGTGCTGCCCATTACATTACAAACCACAGGAGAGGGCAAGTTGTTCAGCAGGATAGCGCTCCTTCTCATACTTCAGCCTCCACATTAAAGCTCCTGAAAGCAAAGAAGGTCAAGGTGCTTCAGAATTGGCCAGCCCAGTCACCAGACATTAACATTATTGAGCATGTCTGGGTAAGATGGAGGAGGCATTGAAGATGAATCCAAAGGATCTTGATGAACTCGGGGAGTCCTGCAAGAATGCTTACTTTGCCATTCCAGATGACTTTATTAATCAGTGATTTGAGTCAGTGCAGAGATGTATGGATGCAGTCCTCCAAGCTCATGATGGAGTCAGACACAATATTCATTCTGTTTCCACTGCAGCAGGACTTTATATTCTATACTGGACATTATTTCTGCTAAGAGACAAGACTTTTGTCTTGGCAAAATCAGACCTTACTGTCCTAATTAAATCATTAAAAGTCAAGGCATGATCATATTTTATTTTGCTAAAATAAGCGTAATCTAGAGGCCTTTGGCTTTCATATAAGCCACTTCTGATACCAAATGATCAACTAGAAGTTAAGTTATTATTTGTTGTTCCTAAAACTTGAATAGTCAACAGGACTTTTGTCAGGTAGTGTAGGGGATATATGATAAAGGACTCTTAATTTTCCGTAACTTAGTTAAAGCACTTCCAGTGAACTTTGTTGTTAGAAATTCTTCGCATTTAAGATTTTTTTCTTTAAAAACCAATAGTCTTCACTGCCTGAATGATTTATGCTATAAAGTGGCTCTCAGAATGTACAAGTATTGCATTTAATTTTGTTGTTCTGCACCATGTCTTTAAAATATGAACATTTATTTTACTCCAATATTTTTAATAGATATTCTGCGCTCGCCTGCTGATCCTGACGATGCTTGCATTTAATGGCTTTTCATCTCATTTTATACCGGAACAACTAAAATACTTCAATCTATTTAACTGATTACATTTTAATAACATTACAACACCCATGCAGTTAAAGGAACCTTATAAAATTGAATTTTAGTTTATTATTAAAACACCAGCTGTGCATATACCCCGTTAAGACAATTGCACTGGTAACCTATTGTGCTAAATAGAAATACTTTCCTTGACTGATCATTGTAATGGCTTGAAAAATACAATACACCTGTAAATAATGTAAAGATCCTATCTATTAAAGTGTATAGTGTGACAATGACTCTTAATAACTGTTTTGTTTTCGTGAACAGTACAGCTGCCTCCTCTCCCACGTTGCCAGATATTGTCATTACTATACAATGCTCTGCCTATAATTACAATATCTGACAACTTGCTGATGGCATCTAACATGAAACATACAATAATGCTTACTTCAGTGTTGCCACACCTCATAATTTTCATGCCACCCCATAAATAATTTCTAGATCCTAGCCTCTGCTTGGTCTATTGTGATAGGTCTACTGCTTACACCACATGTCATAAATCAATCGTCTGTTATTAAAATGTCTGAATTTGACTTCCTCAGCACTTGTGAATACAGTGATGCAAACAGTAATGAAGGCATTGGTTTGTTAGTTTTATCTGTGGAAATGCATGCCAAGTGAGTTTTCGCTGTTATTTAAAGCAGCTAGTGTAAGAGCGTGACAGTGCAGTAGATGTTGTTCATGCACTCAAAGAATGTCGTTTACTGTTTGTTCAAACTACTTAATTAAAATGAGCCAAAACAACAATTCTTGAGGTTATTTTTTGGGGGGGACATCTTAATTATTTTATGTTTAATTCACTTAAATTTGTAAAAACTAATAACCTAACTTATATCCTTCATGTTGTCCCAAAACAAATCAATTGTGGAACTTAGCTTTTTTTTTAATTTTTTTATGAAGACTGAATGTAAATATATATTTTATCTATTTTTTTTCTTTTTTTTATTTCTTTATTTTTATGTTTTCATTTTTATTTTTTATATTTATTTTTTACATATTTATTTTTATATTTATTACATTTTTATGTTTATAAAATTTTTATATGTATGTTTTAATTACTTTAGTTTATTTTTATAGTTATTAGATTATATTTATTTATGTTTTATATTTATAAAATTTTTATTTTCATTTAAATTAATTTTTTAATATTTATTTATTTATATATTTATTATTTTTCACTTTTTATATATATATATATATATATATATATATATATATATATATATATATATTATTTATTTCTATTTTTATTCATTTGTTTATATTTATATTTTTTATTTGTTTGTTTATTTATTTATTTATTGTTTATTTATTTGTATATTTATTTTTTTATTTTATTATTATATTTATTTACTTATTTTTATATTTATTTGTATTTTTATTTATTTTTTCTATTTTATATATTTATTTATTTTATAACATTTTTTCTACAAATCTGCATAAGTTAAAATTGAAATTAGTGATGATTTCTTTTTATTAGGATGCTACAGTAGTCAACATTTGATGTGGATCAAAACGTCATTTAATGAAATTCATCTTTAAACTAGTGAACAAGTGAGTCTTAGGAATATTTTAAGACACATTTTCTGATCCATTTCAAATGTTAAATCCATTTATTCTGCACTATCTTTGGAAATTTGAAGAATTTATGATGTTATGTTATCAAACCGCTACATTACTCATTACATTACATGAAAGGTAAACATTTGTAAAAGCTTAATAGGAGCACTATGTGGGTAATTTTCTCCAGTCAAATTCGGAAATCAAAGTAGATTCTCACTTTCTTTTCGTAGTCAGCTCGGTTCATTTTGCAGACTTTAGCGATGGCTTTGCTCATCATTTTCTCTCTGTATTCGTTAACACTCTCTCTCTCCGCCACTCCAGACCCGGCCTCCGCCACCAGCGTGTAGCTACTGTCCTCAGCTCTTCCTCGACCGCGGGCCTATAGAGAGTAAACAATGACACTTTAAAAGGATAGTTCACCCATTTTTTTAATTTTTTATTGTTGGTTCCAAAAAGAGTTAGAATTTAGTAATCTTAGTTAGTGTAAATACATGCCTTGGTTAATCAAATGTATTTACGCATTTAAATTACATCTAATTTATTAATAAAAGGTATTCAAGTTTTCAGGGATAATCAGTGTATTCTGACCTACAGTAACCTCGGATTAGCTATTTCAGAGGTGACTGTAGGTCAAACTATACTATAAAAACTATATAACTGTCTAATTTGACTTTACTTTTAGGCTATATGTATACAAACAGCTATTTTACAAGACAAATGTCTTGTGAACACTGTGATGTCTATCGGTGCTCTAGATTTGACAGTTTCAGACTGTTTAATGAACTTTCTCGCATACACAGATTGGCGTGGTTAAGCATTCACAGAACTAGGGCTGCATGATATTGGAAAAATCTGACATTTTTTGTTTTTCTGCGATACATACTGCAAAATGAATACAGTTTCACCAGACGGCTTTAATAGCTCCATTTGTACAAAAGAAATCATTGATTTAGATGGTCGGGTTAAATTTGTAAGGGTATGAATCATGTATAAAAAAACCAATAAACAAATTGCAAGCAAGAATAATTACTATAGAGCAGTGGTTCTCAAACTGTGGTACGTGTACCTCTAGTGGTACGCAGGCTTCCTTCTAGTGGTACGTGGAGGAATCGCTAAATAATTAACTTTTAAAAGCACATCATAATTTAAATGTTGACATTTTATTTAATCTTTTTATTATTATTTTTTTTTACCTGTAAGCACAGTACAGTTAATGTTCAAACTCTATATAATGTTTTAAATGGCTACAAATAATACAATTTCATATTAATAAGAATTAATCTGCCATGTTTGAGCGATGTAGCTGCTTAATTAGGCCTACTACGCTACTGTATTTCAATATCTGTTATATGGTGATACTTGGAGAGACAATTTTTTTCTGAGGTGGTACTTGGTGAAAAAAGTTTGAGAACCACTGCTATAAAGCTTAAAAAAAGTCAAATAAACAGTTCTGTATGGTTTTCCGGAGAGTAAAACAGTGTTCAGATACAGAAATTAAATGTAAATTAATACTGTATAGTCTGAATATTCTTCATTAAAGACACAAATGCTTTATGTTATTGTGCACAAATGATCTACTCTTTGTTGAAATGGCTTTAAAACACATGCACATGATTAAGTTTCAATCTATTATAGTTATGCTTTGCAATAACTCCACACATCTCATGTATTTTCAATTGACGATCAACTATAATCCCTACTCAACATTGCATATGCCGCGATGAGACTATTGCAGATGCACACTTTACGATGTCGATGCTGAAATGATACATTGTGCAGCCCTACAACGAACCCTCATAGAGGTGGTCAAATGTGTATTTATATTATCTATTACTTTAATTATTAATATTATTATTTAAGATAGCTATTTCTCACTAATAAACGGCTTACCACGCTTGCATCTCATTTTGACACATTCAGGGAAGATCAAGCTTTGATTAGTGGGTCAATCCCTTCCCAAACCCCCCTGTAATTTGCACCCTGGTTCCAAAACTTTATATATTTCTTTATTCTGTTGAACGCTAAAGTTATTTTAAAGAAAATTTTAAATATGTAACATCTCATTTCCATAGTATCTACTTTTTCTACCATGGAAATCAGTGTTTACAGTTGTTCAGCTTTCAGCAAAATGTCTTTTGTGTTCAAGAGGATAAAAATAAACTCATAAAGGTTTGGAACCACTTGAGGATAATTAAACAGCGAGTACATTTTCATTTTAGGGTGAAATATCCCTTTAAAATAGAGCTGCTAATGCTTCATGTCTAAGAAATTGACATTTTTGCATAGACACAAGGGTTGCCACGATACTGGAATTGGATACCAGTCAGTACTGAAATTAAAACCGTAATTTCCCGTTAACATTTAAGTGCTGTTGAGCACGTTGTTAAACATCGCTGATTCGCCCTTGTGTTCATATGCTCAACAGAAATGACTGTGATTGGCCGTGAAGGTCATCAGTTCCCCAAACTCACCGCTGTTTACTGTGTAAACACAGATAAAGGGACACAGGAGCGTTTTAATGCCGCAATACATCAGCGGAACGCTTGCATGTCAGCTAATAAACAAACCAGCTGATCCACGTGATTTTAAACTCACCGCTGTTTATTGAGTGTGACCACAGATACAGACACTGGAGCATTTTAAATTCAAGTCGATCAGCTGGTTTGTCTATAAGCTGACATACGAGCGATTCTGAGGAATTGCAGCTTTAAAACGCTCCAGTGTCCCTGTATCTGTGGTTACACCCAGTATACATTGAGTTCAGTGAACTAATGACCTTCACGGCCAATCACAGTCATTTCTGTTGAGCACGTGAACACAATGGCAAATCAGCACTGTACAAGAACACGCTTAACAGTGCTCAAATGTTAGCGGGAAATTGATGCTTTTATCAGTATAAATTAGTAACAAATTCCTGTATCTTGACAACCCTAATAAACTTAAAATATATTATAAATATTCATTGAAATTACATTATCTACAAAGACCAAAAGGGCGTACAATCATCATGAGCACCTTCATTGATGAGCAAACATCCTATATTCACACCTGAATCATGGCGACCTCGTTGGTCACCAGGCAATAGCGAATGACCACATTACATTCAGCGATGTCCAAACCCTCTTCTGCAACAGTGGTGGCTATTAGCAGATTGATCTCGCCTGTTCGAAACCTTTTCAGCACGTCCTTCTGCTCCGCCTGAACACAGCAAGAAATTTGATTAAAGCACACATGAAATCAACACTCATTTACTTTGTCAGAGCAAGTTTTGTGGTGAACAATTCATCAGTGCAATCCTGAGTGTGCGTCACACAGGTGAGTGGGCATAACAAACCACCTGTAGGAAACGCACTCTTTCCTTTTCATATGCGCTGTTTAATACAGTCCATTACAAGGACTCAATAATAATTATTAATATAATAATAAAACTAAAACCCGGGGAAATACGGTTGCGATGACATTTTCTCACCGGTTAACCAATGTGTGGTAATAACGATATCATTCGGGGCAAGGCGCTTTTAAATGGTGTTTAAATTATGTGCGCAATTGAACTACTTTCATTTTTGAGTGACAATTGAGTGTCAATTGCTTGTATCGACAAAAAATTAAATAAATAAATAAATAAATACGATAACAAACTCGTACAATGAGTACAATAACAAACTTGCATACACTCAAAAAATGATGTTTGCTGTTTGTTCAAACTAGCGTAAATACTGGAATTCAATATCAATTAATACTGAAATTTTAAAAACGTCCGTTTCCGTTGGACCTTTTTCATTTCCAAATGCTCCAGTGTCCCTGTATCTGTGTTAACAGTGCATCTGGAAAGTATTGATAGTGCTTCAATTTTTCCACATTTGTTTGTTACAGCCTTTTGCAAAATAGATTAAATTAATTTATTTCCTCAACATTCTACACCCAATACCCCATAATGAAAAAGGGTTTTTGAAATTGTTGCAAATTTTTTAAACATAAAAAAGCTGAAAAATCAGGTAGCATTTAGATTTAAGCAAAAACAAATATGATAGTTGTTGACAGTAACTATGGAGATGATGATGTGTGCGCAGTCTTGACAGCATTCCTCCGCATTAGTGATGGGTCGTTCATGAACGATTCGTTCATTTTGAATGAATCTTCAATATGACTCGGGAACTACGAGTCCTCTCAGGGAGTGATTTGTTCATCTGCGCGTGCGCACATTTGTGCAGGTAGTATCGTTAATTTCAAGTCTTCATCACATTGGCAGAAGCCAATCATACGCGTTCAGAACCGGAAAAAGAATTGATCCGCTCACCTCTCGAGTCCTCTATCGGGTCTGAGTCACTCGTTCATCACGAGCCAATCATATACGTTTAGAGCCGGAAAAAGAATTGATCCGCTCACCTCTCGAGTCCTCTATCAGGTCTGAGTCACTCGTTCATCACGAGCCAATCATATACGTTTAGAGCCGGAAAAAGAATTGATCCGCTCACCTCTCGAGTACTCTATCGGGTCTGAGTCACTTGTTCATCACGAGCCAATCATATACGTTTAGAGCCGGAAAAAGAATTGATCCGCTCACCTCTCGAGTCCTCTATCGGGTCTGAGTCACTCGTTCATCACGAGCCAATCATATACGTTTATAGCCGGAAAAAGAATTGATCCGCTCGTCTCTCGAGTCCTCTATCGGGTCTGAGTCACTCATTCCTCACGGGCCAATCATACACATTTAGAGCCGGAAAAAGAATTGAACCGTTCATCTCTTGAGTCCTCGGGTTTGAGTCATTCTGTCACGTGATGAACGAACGATCATGGCTCCTATTGGCTTAGACTGTGCATTGATTAAGATTATATGTGACTGTCAGTGTAACGTGAATGAACCCCTGACATTTGAAGACATGAAGAGCTGAGCTGAGCAAAGAGACAACAATACCTTCATAGACAAAAGAGCAGGTAAACATTGAATTATTATTTTCTCCTTCTTATATTCTCCTTATGACTTATTTTTGTGCATTCAACCTTTTGGGCTAGTTGTAGATGTGTTTGGAAGCAATTCGTAACATTTTAATAATATTTTGGCAAATTGAACAAAATGACTCAAAAAGATTCGTTCATCCTGATGAACGAGACTCAAAGATCCGAGTCAGTAAAATGATCCAAACTTCCGATCACTACTCCGCATGTGGAATGACCTTACACTGACCTGCTTTCTGATACTCCTGTTGCTTATCTGGGATTGAGCATTCAGTTTTTCTATTGTAGTCTTATCTCTAACCTAATTAAATTATATTTATTACTGTAATAAAATAAAAATGAGTGTGGTGGGGGATGTGACATGGGGGCAAATGACAGAACTGGTGTTGCAGCTTAATACTGGTAAAACCAACTATTGCACCAAGCTTACTGCTAAACTAACTTAGACTTATCAAAGAGTATACAGTATATATTGCTGTTCTCTGGTGATTTGAAGTGTTCATTTTTCTCATTTGTCATTTGCTTTGGGTGAAGGCATCTGCTAAATTAATAGACGTACAGTAAATGCAAATCAATCCAAATAAAAAAAAATAAATTTAAATCTAAAAATGCACCTTAAAGGGTCGGTTTCAAAGAGTTATAAAACAACGATCATCTTACATCTTGTAAAAGGGGCATAATAGGTCTCCATAGATATATCCATTAGATGTTGTCTACCCTGTTGTTGTCTATTGGAAGGAATGCATCAGTTGAGCCGCCATTTTGGAACAGGGTAGCTCTCCATTGAAATGAATGCGGGACCAAGGTACAGTGGAGGACTGTGGCCATTCAAAGCCAGAGATATACACATATACACATATATCTATGATCGGGAGTTTTTCTGAATGTTAGTATTCAAAATTTTTTTTTTTAATTACGAAAATTATAATGTACATCATTTTTCGACATTAATGGATCAGTGATTGCACTGGCATTTCTGACAAAAAGCTTGTGTTTGTGTGTATGGAAATGTACTATTCACCCTCCCTGTTAAATTTGATCTAATCCGTGTCCTAAAACACACCTCCTCTCCTGCTTTCACTTCTCATACTGACGGAGGGAGCGACTCGTTTGTGAATGAATCTCCGTTATGAACGACTCCTTCACTTAGCCGACAATAATACCAGTTTCTGGCATCTCGTTGTCATATTTCTTTTGCTTTGTTTGCTGATTTTATTCAACAAAACTAGCATAAGCCGAGTATTTAGTGCGAGTGGGAGCTGCTTTGCCTTATAGTGAATGCAGTAAGTGACTGTATTATCATCAATAACGTGACCTGTTTAGCACAAAAGTTCAGAACATACAAAAACGTAAAAACTTAATCCTACCTATGAAATGTTCTGCCTTTGTGCTTTGTTTTCTTTGTTTGCTCGTTACTACACTAGTACACAGCACTAAAGTCCCGCATCTTCATGTAATAACACTTTGTTGACTAGTGCGGTTGAATGACACTTGTCCTGGGAGCACTGTACCAATGTGGCGGCGCTTTTGACGCATGCTCAGGGTCCCTATCCGATATCTAGTGTATATATCTATGATAGGTCTCCTTTAAAATGGCGTTTTAGTCTAAATTCATGTAAACACACACAATCAGTGACTTACAGCGGTCATGGGTTTCACCACGCTCTGGTCTCCTCCGCCGATCAGATAACTGGCTCGGACTCCCACTTCATCAAACTTGGGGTTTTCTTCAATCCACTGGCAGAGAGCGATGGCGCTGAGGCGGGTCTGGGTGAATATGATGCCTCTCGCCTTCTCTCTGGTGCTGAATTCCTTCAGGATGATGGTTTTCAGCTGGGCCAGATTATTATTTTCATACTGCGGCTTTCCCATCAGCTCCTGCAGCTTCGCTTTTTTGTCTGCCGTGTATTGAAGGAAGGTTTATTATACATAGCTAAAAGTTAAGACTGCAGATAAAGCATTTTGTTCATTGAAATCAAATGACAATTAAATTAGTACCCTTCCTGAATTATTATCCCCTGTATTACTTTTTTCCCCAGTTTCTAATATTTTTTCAGCACATTTCTGATCATAATAGTTTTAATAACTCATTTCTTATAGCTGATTTCTTTCACCTTTGACATTATGAAAGTAAATAATGTGTATAGATATTTTTCAAGATTATACTATAGACTAGTATTCAGCTTAAAGTGACTTTTAAAGGCTTAACTAGGTTCATTAGGCAAGTTGTGGTAATTAGGCAAATCATACACACCTTTGAACAAAGTGAAGAGGAATCTCTCTGTGTCCGTGATTGTAATGTTGCCTTCCTCGTCAGGGCTAGATTTGGTCTTGAGCTCTTCATTGTGATATTTGTCCAGGAACCGGAAAGCGTCAGACATTCGAATGGTGTTGCTCTGATGAAGAGCCTCATTGTATTGGCGGAGATGTTCGGCACACACGCGAACATTCTGATTCTCCTCTTTAGCAGCTGTTGAAAAACACAGACAATATTTAGGCCCAATCCCAATTCTACCCCTTAGCTCTTTCCTTTACACCTACCTCTCATTTTGTGCATTCACATAAAGGGGTAGGGGTGTCCCAATTCTCTTAAGCTTGAAGACATAGGGCTAAGGGGAAGGGCTAGAGACCCCTTTAAACTGAGATTTTTTTAGGACCACACTCAAAACAAAGGGGTAGGAAAATTTCCCAGAATACACCATCTACAAAGGCAGCATGGTTTTATTTTCTCGAAGTCCACTTATGATTTCCTTTTCTGAATTTGCAAGTACAAATCCACATTTTTCCAGAAGAGAATGTTTAGCAAATAGTTTTATTCAATCTTTTCTCTTTATTTTCTCCTTTTATTTGAATATCTTAATTTTTTTTTCCATTGGTTTAGCTAATGATGAAATCTGAGATAATATTAATAAAGATAAAAACCTAAAGCCCCAAAATCAGGAAAAAGTTGTGACAGTATGGAAAATTAATTTTTTTTAATTAAATTTAAAAAAGAAAGGGATTTCCAAATTTACTTTGACTTGTATTTCATTGCAGACGATATGAATACAAAATTTTTCATATTTTGTCTGGTCAACTTCATTTCATTTGTAAATATACATGCTTTCCTGTCATTCAGACCTGCAACACACTGCAAAAAAAGTTGGGACAGGAGAAATTCAGGGCTGGTAATGAGGTGAAATAATGATGTGATTCGAAACGGGTGATGTCAACAGTTGATCTATAATTATCATTTGGTAGAAAAGCAGCATCCAAGAAAGGTCTAGTCCTTTAGGAGCAAAGAAGGGCAGAGGATCGCCAGTTTGATAACAAATCCATGAGAAAATCATTGAAATGTTTAAAAACAAAGTTCCCCAAAGAAAGAGAGGAAGACATTTGGATATTTCACCTTCAACAGTGCAGAACATCATTGAAAGATTTAAGGAATCTGGAGAATTTTAGTGTGTAAAGACAAGGGCCCAAGCCTAAGCTAAACAACTGTGATCTCCGGTCCCTCAGGCAGCACTGCATCAAGAATTCTCACTCATCTAAGCCTTGTCACCACATGGGCTCTGGACTACTGTGGCAAACTTTTGTCAAGTTCCACAATACTGTACTGTGCCAAAAGGAAGCCCTATGTTAACAGTGTCCAGAAGCGCTGTCAACTTCTCTAGGTTTGACTCAACTTTATTATCCTGTTTAGGGAAACTAAAATTGCAGCAAGGTGCCATAACACAAGTGAAGATCCATGTACACATTAATAAAATATTACAGCACAACATACCGTACATCATTTTGTAGGTGCCCCCCCCCCCGCCCCCGGACTCATTTAATGACCTAAAGGCCACCATTCTAAAAGAATGCAGCAGCAGCTGAGACACAGAGTACAATGAGTGATCCGGGGTGCATAAGATACCCTGAGCTCTCTTTAAAACATTCATTCATTCATTCATTTTCTGCCGCTTTTCCAGGGCCGGGTCGTGGGGGCAGCAGTCTTAAAAGAGAACCTCAGACTTCCCTCTCCCCAGACACTTCCTCCAGGGGGATCCCGAGGCGTTACCAGGCCAGCCGAGAGACATAGTCCCTCCAGTGGTCTTCTCTGAGGCCTCCTCCTGGTGGGACATGCCTGGAACACCTCCCTAGGTAGGCGTCCAGGAGGCATCCGAAACAGATGCTCGAGGCACCTCAGCTGACTTCTCTTGATGTGGAGGAGCAGCGGCTCTACTCCGAGCTCCTCCCGGGTATCAGAGCTCCTCACCCTATGCATAAGACCTTCGAAGGAAACTCATTTCGGCCACTTGTATCCGAGATCTTGTCCTTTCGGTCATGACCCAAAGCTCATAACCATAGGTGAGAGTAGGAACGTAGATTGACCGGTAAATCGAGAGCTTTGCCTTTCGGGTCAGCTCCTTCTTCACCACAATGGACCGGTACATCGACCACATTACTGCTGCACCATTCCGCCTGTCAATCTCATGTTCCATCCTTCCCTCACTCGTGAACAAAACCCCGAGATACTTAAACTCCTCCACCTAGGGGTGAAGACTTTCCTCCAACCTGGAGATGGCAAACCACCTTATTCCGGTGAAGAAGCACCATGGCCTTGGACTTGAAGGTGCTGGTTCTCATCCCAGCCGCGTCACACTCTGCAACAAGCCGCCCTAGTGCATGCTGAAGGTCCATGTTCGATGAAGCCGACAGCACAACATCGTCTGCGAATAACAGATGAAATCTTGTGGTCCCCGAACTGGACCCCTTCCAGCCCAAGGCTGCACCTTGAAATTCTGTTCATAAAAATTTGGAATAGATTTGGTGACAAGGGGCAGCCCTGCCACAGTCCAACATGCACTGGAAACAAATCTGACCTATTGCCGGCAAAGCGAACCAGACTCCTACTCTGTTCATAATTTAAATTATTATTATGGTAAATTACCATTAAAACCAGTTCAGTTGAAACTGATGATCTTGCCTGCCACCCTATTCAGGCTGCTCAGCCTGTTCTTACTTGACGCACTCAGATTACCGTACCAAGCTACAATGCAGAAAGATAAAACAGATTCAATAAATTGACAAACTAGCCTTTAAAAAAAACTTCAACTAAAAAGGGAAAACATATTTTTTGTTCCGTTATCGCAACTTATTTTGTTAGATTAGCCCCAGATTTGGCTTCAATTCTGACTAATCTAAAGTATATGCACAAATATAATATTGTAAAGCTTCCTATAGAAAATATTAATTTAAAAGAGAAATTTGTGAGTGGTGTACTCAAATGGTGAGCACTGTTTATGTCTGTACAGTTGATATTCGACTGCTGTATCTCTTATGCTGAATGTCTGAACAGAGCTCAGAAACTCTGCTGGAATTCACAGTAAAATAACAGGCGCTTACTTTAAAAACAGGAAAGAGACTCTGTTATTTCTGCGGCTTATTATGACACATTTTGCATGAGTGCATGACTGTATATGACATTCTTATCATGACTTCCACAAAATGAGGTTTAAATTGTGGTCATGGTTTCTGCGAAGGAGGCAGGAAATAAAGGACACACACAAAGTAACCGCGGTTTAGTAACAGCTTTGCCAAAAACGACTTGTGTAGCGCTGATTTTAAGCAAATAAGCAGTTTGTGGTTAACTGATCTTCACCAGTGCTCTCTGGATATTTCAGTTATCAGTTGTTTAAAATAATACATTTATACAGTTACAAATTAGCGTACACATGTCTCAAGATGGCGTCGTGGTGGCGCAGTGGGTAGCAATGTCTCCTCAAGCAAGAAGGTTGCTTCTTTGAGCCTCGACTTTGTTAATTGGCATTTCTGTGTGGAGTTTGCATGTTCTCCTTGTGTTGGCTTGGGTTTCCTCCATGTGCTCCCCCCACAGTCCAAAGACATGTGATACAGGTGAATTGGGTAAACTAAATTGGTAAACTATAACTAAATTTTGAGGATCTATTGGTCTACTTCACTGTAATGTCTAGCTATTTGAGGATCTTTTGGTCTACTTCACTTTTATGTCTAGCTTTTGAGGATCTAATGGTTTACTTCTTTGTCTAGCTATTTCAGGATCTAAATCAGGTCGCACACCAGAAGCGCTGCTCGGCACCGCAACACGGCGCGCACATGACAGTTTAAAGTATCACACACCAGACGTGCACATTCGCATGATGTTAAACATGAAACTAATCAGATGGCGCTCTGTGGCGTGGCTGAAATATGAACTGCGTCCTGAGTCGTGGTTGGGCGCTGCCGACAGCCGCCGACTTGCGGCGCCGGTGTGCGTACCCTGATAGAAACCTATGTTTAGAATTCTAAAATGCATGCCGTGGCGGTGCGCCGCGCAACGCCGAGCGGCGCTTCTGGTGTGCGACCTGCTTAATGGTCTACTTCACTTCAGTGTCTAGTTTGCTGGAGTTCCGAAGCTTTTAGAAATGGCTTTATAACCTTTTCCAGACTTTCAGATCCCAATTAATCTAACTTTTGGGTATCTTTTGGTCTACTTTACTTTCATGTCCAACTATTTAAGGATCTTTTGTTGTACTTCAAATTGATGTTTAGCTATTTGAGAATATTTTGGCTTATTTCACTTTGTCTAGTTCGCTGCAGTCCCAAAGCTTTAGAAAATCCCAATTATTTTATTTCCTATATTTTTTTCATTTATTTGAATCCCTGCATGATATCCAGCTTTTGAGCATCTTTTGGTCTATTTCACTTTAGTCTTAACTTTTGAGGATTGTTTGGTCTACTTCACTTTATCTCACTTTTGAGGATCATTTGATTGATTTAACATTTCAATCTAAAGTGAATGTTCAGTTGTTTGTTTTGCCTGATATTGTTTGCTTTTAGTGATTGTGGTTCGCTGCCGTCCTTAAGCTTTAGAAATGGCTTTATAATCTTTTTTTCAGACTTGTAGATCCCAATAATTCTAGTTTTGCGTAAGTTTTTACTTTACTTTGATGTCTAGGTATTTGAGGATCTTTGGTCTAGAGTGTTGATGTCTAGCTAGTTTAGAATCTTTTGGTCTTCACTTTGATGTCTAGCTATTTGAGCATCTTTTGGTCTACTTCACTGTCATGTCTAGCTGTTTGAGGACCTTTTGGTCTACTTCACTTTGTCTAGTTTGCTGGAGTCCTAAAGCTTTAAAAATGGCTTTATAACATTTTCCAAACTGGTAGGTCCCAATTAGTCTAGCTTTAGAGGCTCTATTGGTTTACTTCACCTTCATGTCTAGCTATTTGAGAATCTTTTGGTCTTCTTCACTTTGATGTCTAGTTTGCTGTGGCCCCAAAGCTTTAGAAATGGCTTTAGATTCTTTTTCAGACTGGTAGATCCCTATAAATCTAGCTTTTGAGGATCTATTGGTCTACCTTTCTTTCATGTCTAGCTATTTGTAGATATTTTGGCCTACTTTACTTTCATGTCTAGCTAATTGAGGATCTTTCAGTCTACTTCACTTAGTCTAGCTTTTGAGGATCTTTTGGTCTTTTTCGCTTTCAGTCTTAAGGAAAAAGAGTGTAGTTTTTTTCATTATTATAAATATTTTATAAACATTTGCACTGTTCCATGTGTTACCCGTTTCCCGACTGTTAGATACCACTTAATCTAGCTTTTAAAGATATTTTGGTCTACTTCACTTTGATGTCTAGCTATTTGAGGATCCTTTGGTCTACTGCACTTTGTCTAGTTTGTTGGAATTCCAAAGCTTTTGAAATGGTTTTATAACCTTTTGCAGACTGGAAGATCTAAATAATTTTTTCTTTAAGATATTGTGGGGAATTTCTTTGGCATGATGTCTAGCTTTTGAGGATCTTTAGGTCTACCTCACTTTGTCAGTCTCAATAAAGAATTTTTTTTTCCTCTCTTTTTTTTGACTGATTATAAACTTTTTTTTTTAATCTCGAAAAAAATGTTTATTAAATTATTTATGTATTTTTTTTACAGTATTTTCTGAATTAAGGATTAATAAAAAGAGATTCCTGATAATATAATTGTTTATTCTACATTATAGTAGGACGTGCATCAGTTTATTACAAGGTTGATACTACTACCAATCAGAAAAGAAGTCATTTAAAAGTTCAATTCAAGAGGTTTATATATATATATATATATATATATATATTCAGGTTTGTGCTATTATTTAATTGACCGAAATCATAATTATAATAATCTGTACTAAGACACAATTTGCAATTGTTGTAATTTGCTAATATATATATATATATATATATATATATATATATATATATATATATATATATATATATATTATTATTATTATTTTTTTCCCAGGTGTTCAGTGTGCCAGTAAATATTTCCAAACAATACCCAGAGTGTCTTTCTGAAAGATTAGTAAACTCACCGTTCTGCTCTTTCTGCACGACCCACTGTTCATAGTTCTGTGTGCCGGGCTCACAAAGGGGCTGCAGGTCAGCATGTGTGTGGATTTCATCCATGATCTTCTTGATCACATCTCCAAATGGGTCCTTAAGCATGCCACAGACAAAATATTTCAAGTAAAACACACAAATGAATGTACCAGCAACATCAACAGTATAGACGAATTACCATTTTGTAAACATTCAGGATGCGTGCGCAGCGAGATTGCAGAAAAAACCCAGGAGCGCTAGCATTTACAGCGAGGGAATGACATCCATTGCGGTACAGAGTTTGTTGTTGTACTAGAGATCAGTTATATTGATTACATATTATATATATTATTTACATAAAGCTTTCAGTTATAAGCACAGTTATTCAGTAAAATTAACATTAAAGTAAGTGGCGTTCGTTTAACAGGTCTATGTGTGTATGTATGTATGTATATATATATATATATCATTGCAACTCCAAGTGACTTTACAAGAGAGAATTTAAAGGCCTACAAGTTTTTGAATGCCTACAATTTTATTCAGTGTAGTAGTCATGAGCAAGAAACAATGTTCCATGATCACCACATTTAACACCATGTAGTGCTAAAAACCAAGATTCTGCCGAGTCGGCCTGTCTGGTTTCGGAATATAAAAAACAAGCCGTTTGTTTTCTGATGATTTTATTTTTTGTTATTCAAAATAAAAAATTTAAATTAAATCATTTTTGAATTTAGCTTTTTTGTTTTTCACAATGAAGAAGAAAAACGCCTCACATTTCAATATTCGCTTTTGAATTTTAAAACAAAAACAAAAAAAAAAAACCTGCAAATTTTTTTGTTTTTTAATATCCATTTTCAAAATGAAAATCCAATAACCAAAAGAAACACAGACCGATTTCGCAAGTCAGACTTCACCAAGCTTGACACTTTCCCACGCAGCGAATTTCGAAACTTGTTGCACCAACTTGCGTTTCCAGTCTGACGCATTCACATGCGTATGAATGGAAGTCTATGGGGAAAGAAGTGCAGTGTGGCCACAGCTTTACTAGATATACGAGAAACTTCCTGGCAGGTGTGTTGAAGCAAGTTGGAGCTAAACTTAGCAGCACACCGGCCCTCCAGGACTGAGTTTGGACACCCCTGCGTTAGACAATTTATTTCTTTTACCTTGAAAGCGGTAATCATGAAAACACTACAGTGGACCAATCAGATGAACTCTGAGTCAGGGCAAGTGTTGCGAGCTTCTGTTTATAGCAACAAGTTGGATGAGGAACTTCTTTAATAACCGTTCCTGAGAGCTGCTTCTCACATAAAGTGCAAAGACACATTTTGTGTGAATGGCCCCTGAAAATGCGTCATAAATCTGAAATCTGATGTGGTTTGAGCAAACAGATTTGCCCTACCCAATGTAGTGGTGCAGATTTGACACACTTCTCCATTTAAATGACACACATTACGTGGAATTACCTCTTTCCTCTCTTCTGCTTTCGCAATCCTCTTGAATGGTGTTTTGGCCTCTTCTTCTTCGAAAGTCTTTGTTTTGATTGTGAAGGCATCCAAGTTTGCGCAGATCTGTAATGGATCAAAATAATGAGACGCGTACTGTTGAACTCTGAGTTCCAGATTATAGATGACTAACAGATGAGCTGTGAAACGATCAATGGCATTAAATACGAGAGTATGTGTATATATGTATGTATGCATGTATGTGTGTGTGTGTGTGTGTATGTATATATATATATATATATGTATGTATGTGTATATATGTATGTATGCATGTATGTGTGTGTGTGTGTGTGTATGTATATATATATATATATATATATGTATGTATATATGTATTTATGTATGTATGTATGTATGTATGTATGTATGTATGTATGTATACACACACACACACACACATATATATGTTATATGTACATTTAAGCAGCTAATATTAATGTACAATTACGACGGGCAGAGGGTTGGTGAAGAACTACTGAGAGATTTCAGCTTCTGTCTGGGCTTTCACTGCCCTTCTACACCTCACTTTCTTCATGTGTTCAATACTTTTCCCTACGTCATTTTATTACACAACTTCTTTTGTAAACTTATTGGGTTTGTGACCAACAAACAGTGAAAATTAAGTCATCAGCACCTTTAGAAATATGTTATCTGAGATATTAATAATCTGTTCAAAACTTCTTAGGCCTACTTTCCTGTACTGAGAAACCAATGTAGCGTTTCTCTTGGCGCTTGGGTGGTGTTGACACAAAGATTCATGGGTAAGCAGAGCAGCAGGGTAATAATGTAATGCAAGGTTCGGCTGATTCTCACTCCTGGCTGTAGAAGCATGAAAGGCATGCGGAGGTTTATGGCCGCCTCCAGCACAGGGGCCGCGTGGAACATTGGAAACAGCTTTGTGGTGGAGAAAACACTGAGATGTGGGAGAGGAGGTGTGTGTGGAAAACTCAGATTAAAGGAAAACAGTTAGGGAATCTTTTATATGAGAGAGGAAGGAGAAGCCTTTTTTTTTTTTAAAGATGTGGCCATAAAGCAAGTCTAGATTGTGTGTACATGCTCCGGTAATGCACAGGTTGGTGGTAGGTGTATTTATTTATTTTTTTTTACATGTGTTTCCACTTCATGTAATGATCCAAGCTTCTTAATTCAATTGAAGCTTCTTTTATCACTTCTTAAGAACTGTACAAAAATGTTTGGGGTCAGTAAGTTTATTTTTCCTTGCAAAAAGGATACAAATTAATTCGTTCATTCATTCATTTTTTCATTGTCTTACTCTCCTAATTTATCAGGGGTAAAGTTCATGCTGACGTTACAGCATATGTTTTACATAGTGGATGCCCTTCTTGCCGCAACCCTCTACTAAGGCCAAGTTAGTTTATCCATGGTTGATGGAGGGTGGGATTGGGTCATGGGCCCTTTGTAATGTTTCTGAGGGCCCCTAAAATCCGTGGGCCCTTAAAATCATCCTAACTTCCCCCCCTAGCGGTGCCCCTGGCTATAGGTGAATTGGGTAAACAACTGGCCGTAGTGTATGTGTGTGTGAATGCAATTGTGTATGGGTGTTTTCCAGTACTGGGTTGCGGCTGGAAGGGCATCCGTTGTGTAAATGAATAGTTTACGGTTCATTCCACTGTGGCGACCCCTAATAAATAAGGGACTAAGCTGAAGGAAAATAAAAAAAAATTATAATGATTATTATTGAGTGGCGCAGTGGGTGGTGCTGTGACCTTGCAGCAAGTAGGTCGTTGGTTTGAGCCTCAGCTGGGTCAGTTGGCATTTCTGTGTGGAGTTTGCCTATTCTCCCCATGTTGGCGTGAGTTTCCTCCGGGTGCTCCGGTTTCCCCCAGAGTCCAAACAAATGTGCTATAGGTGAATTGGGTAAGCTGAACTGTCAATAGTGTGTGAGTGTAAATGAGTGTATGGGTGTTTCCCAGTGCTGGGTTGCAGCTGGAAGGGTATGTGCTGGATTAGTTATCGGTTCATTTCCGCTGTGGTGATTCCTGATTAATAAAGGGACTAAGCCGAAAAGAAAATGAATGAATGAATGATGATGATGATTTATTATTATTATTATTATTCATGGCTTCTAAACATTTTGCATTATCAAATGCTAAACATGTAATACCAAAACGTGAATAACATCTTTTTTTTTTTTTTTTTAGATCAGCTGGACAATTGAGAAGCTCAAGATTCATGAATGAAAGTGAATGTCATCTTTTTTTTTTTACCTGGAGAATATGCTCCTCCGCCATCTGCTGGCTCACCGCTCCTCCCACACCAGGTGAGGCAGTCAGACCCAGGATCTGAGGGATGGGAACTAAAGTTTTGTCCTGCTTCTTCAGCAGCTGGTTCCTATTCTTCTGTTTCAGGTAGCGAATCATGATGTGGTTATACACACCGCCCTTCTTCGTGTGGTGGCACTCATCAATAACCATCAGGGTGAACTCTGTAGGTGTACAGTGGGAATCAGAACTGACCATTAGAATTCATCCAGTTTAGTACTACATACAGGTAAAGTCAAATTATTCACCCTCTTTTGAGATTTTAGTTTTCTGATTTTACCCAAATGATATTTAAGAAAGGAAAGAGTTTTTCCACAGATTTTCCTATAATATTTTTTGTTCTAGAGAAAGTCTGATTTGTTTAATTTCGGCAAGAATAATTTATATAATTTATTTTAAAAAAAAACCATTTTAAGGTCAATATTATTAACCCCATTAAGCGATATTTGTTTTTGATTGTCTATAAAATAAACCACTGTTATACAATGACTTGCCACATTAACCTACACTGTAAAAAATAAATCCGTAAAATTTACGGTAAAATACCGGCAGCTGTGGTTGCCAGTACTTTACCGTTAAAAACACGGTACAAACCGTAGAAGTAATTTCTCATTTTACTGGTAAACTACCGTATTTTATTAATTTATAGAGGTAATATGTCTGTATTTTGAATGACCAACATCTACACATCTTTTGTTACACAGTTAGACACCCTAGCACAGCCACATGCAGGTGGTGATGAGGAAGTTACATAATGAACCAAAGCTCATCACAGTCAACTTTTCCCACAGGCAGAAAAGAGTATGAGCATATAGAAGGTGCTCAGTGTCATTCACACAGCTGCTAAACACCAGTATGGTAACACGCATAAAATTAAAGTCATGAAATAAACATTGTTTATCAACATTAGATGTAACATAAATCTCTAATGTACATAACTGATGGGGAAACAACTAAAAAGATCCACATTAATGTCAACCAAATGCATAAAAAGTGATCTGCCATGCAGGGAATTCTGGGAAAGTCAATTTACGGTTATTCCCCTTATATATTAAGGAAACATAACGTTAACCAGGTTACGGATTTTTACTGTAGCATTTTTACAGTTTTTTTACCGTTGGAATAACGGACGTTTTTTACAGTGTAGCTAAACCTTTAACTGTCACTAAGGCAAGGGAAGTTTCTTTATATAGCACATTTCATACACAGTGGCAATTCAAAGTGCTTTACATAAACAAGAATAAAAAAGACAAGTATAAGAAAATAATAATAAAAAACAATAAAAATGATTAAACGCATAAAACAGATTAAAATGTGTAAAAATAGGTTATAAAAGAATCCAAAAAAAGAAAAGAAAGACACAATAGTGCGATCTGTGGGACGCAGCACAGTGCTCATTTAGTAAAGGCACAGCCAAACAGATGAGTTTTCAGTCTTGATTTAAACATGCCTAATGTTGGAGCACATCTGATCATTTCTGGAAGCTGATTCCAGCAGCGGGGGCGCTGTTAGTAGCTGAAAGCCGATTCACCCTGCTTTGACTGAACTCTTGGAGTTTCTAGTTTATTTGATCCTAAAGATCTGAGTGATCTGTTGGGTTTGTATTCTGTCAGGATATCTGTATTGTATTGAGGTACTAGGCCATTTAGTGATTTATAGACCAGTAATAATACTTTAAAATCTATTCTGAATGTAACTGGAAGCCAGTGTAAAGACCCGAGAACAGGTGTGATGTGCTCTGATTTCCTGGTTCTGGTCAGAATCTTGGCTTCAGCATTTAAGCTGTATTCTAGTATCTTGAAAAATATCTGGTCAAATATTATGTTCTGTCATTCAAGGTTATTATAGTTAACGAGAGCTAAACTTAAAAAAACATTTTCGTTCACTGAAATAAAAATAAAAACAAGGGTTTCAAATAAAGAGAACTAACTAAATGGTATTGTGTACGTACAAAACTAACCGAAACTAACAAACACATCTTTCGTTTTCGTCTTGGTAAATGTATTTAATAGGCCTACTCCAGGGCTATTCAATTGGCGGCCCGTGGGCCAGACAAAAATCCAACACAAAATCTTGTTTTTTCATTTTTTTTGTGTTTTTTTTTTTTTAATATTTCTTAATTTTCCTATTTTTTTGTTTAAAATAGATATGGAGTGGACGGAAGATACCCTGATTATAAAATAACTTTATTCATTCATTCATTTTCTTTTCGGCTTAGTCCCTTTATTAATCTGGGGTCGCCACAGCGGAATGAACCCCCAGCTTATCCAGCATATGTTTTTACACAGCAGATGTCCTTCCAGCTGCAACCCATCTCTGGAAAAAATCCATACACACTCATTTACACTCGTACACTACAGACAATTTAGCTTACCCAATTCACCTACAGCGCATGTCTTTGGACAGTGGGGGAAACCGATGCTTCCAGTGGAAACCCACGCGAACGCAAAGAGAACATCGAAAATTCCACACAGAAATGCCAACTGACCCAGCCAAGGCTCAAACCAGCGACCTATATATAAAAAAATCACCTTAGAAAAAAAGGTAAATTTATTTATTTTTTTGCGTCAAAACCAGCTAAATTAATGTATGTTTTTTTGAAAAACCTCTAAATCCAGACAAGACAGTGTAACTAGTTGAAAATCACTAAAGATGCAATTAGAAATAATTTTATCAAACAATAAACACCTAAAATTAACAATGTATAAATCTGTCAAGAAAGTTGGCAGTTCATCCCGCTGTGGTAACCCCTGATAAACCAGGGACTAAGCAAAGGAAAATAAGTGAATGAAATCTGTCAAGTGCAATAATCAATAACATTAAAATTGACTTAAAAATGGATTGATTAAATCTTAATCTGTTTAAAATTGATTAATTAGATCTTAATTTGTTGTCATTTCTGATATTTGGGATTTAGATTTAAAGTTAGAGCACTGTAATAATTGTAAACTAAGCTTGGTAGATTCAAATAATGTAGTGTAAAACATTGTGAAAAATCAATATCTGTGCATTGTCTGTAAATATAAAAAGCTTATCAGATGTATAGGTATTCTGAAGTAATATAAATAATGTTGAGATTTACACATAATATATATCTTTTATTTAGAAAATAGCTTAAATTAGCAAATAAAACACAAGGTAGGCCTACAAGCCAAAGGGGATGTCTCTCAGACAATTTAAAAAGCTGTCATTCATTCATTCTCACTATACTTAAAATGTCTCTTTTTCGTCTCTTGTTTATCCTCATGGCATCCACGTGGGATGAAAGAACAACATCTTAATTCTGTCTTTCATGAAACGCAGTTGCCGTTTAATGAATAGTAAATCGGACTCATTCAAAGTAGCGTCGCTGCACAAAGAAACATTATGAATGCAACTTACACCTCCGATTGTACAGTGTGTTTTCTTTTTCTTTTAATGCACAGTCTTTTGAGGTAAAGGGATGTTTTTCATTTGCCATTCACTGACAGTCGGACAGGCTCATCCAGTTCATCAAACTCTGTCTTTTAAAATCCAAACCGGATGCGGAATAAAACAGTCTCCTCATAAAAGCTGGCATATCAGTGTGCTGCTACATTGAAAACATATGATTCGATTCATGTCTTCTGATTGGTTCTCGGAATATAGCGGCTTTTGCTGTCAAAGGCAAGTGGCATTTAGCTGCCTTTGCCAACAAACTGTTTTTTTCTGAATGCGCTGACATTGCGATTTCGATGATTTGAATATTTGAAATATTATTATCTTGTTTTTGGCGGACATGGCATTTAGCAGCAACTATTCAGATATATATTAGCGCTGTCAAAATTAATGCGTTAACGCATGCGATTAATTTGAAATATTTAACACGTAAAAAAAAATTCATGCAATTAACGCAGTTAGTTTTTTTTTCCTGTTGTGGTCAACGTGTGTTTACTATGCAAAGAAATAAGAATATGACCAAGGAAGCACTTTTTGAAAGCAAGTTTCAGTATAAATCAATTAATGTCGCATCACCAGGCTCTCCAGCGTTTCCTCCAGAGTTTCATGGAATTTCGGGTGTTTCACTTTTAACTTTCGACTTTTGTTTTAATGGAATTTGATACCGCATGGCGAACGGAAAGAAAAACCTCTGCATGGTCCTTTAATTTAATCAAAAATTGCTGCTTACATAGTCGACACTTAAGAGTATTATCTTAATCATATTAAAATCGGAGTATTGGTGTCTTATGTACATGTACTCAGAAAGTGCCAGATGAAGTCGCACGCTGTCAAAGACAGCGCTACCTCTGCCTTTCAGCATGCACCCTCCAATGTTACATTTAGTTTGACGTGTTTCCCCCTTTAACGCAACTTTTGTAAAATGTCTGCTTCTCATTGTTGTATCAGATTTCTTATGAAATACAGCCATACTTTAGAACGCTTAGTTTAAACAAATTTGATGAACGTGATCATGCGTGTTAAATCTGAAGGGAGTCACTCCGGCTGTGCTGTCCTGCGCGTGTTGTGTGTGTGTGTCTGTCTGTCTGTCTGTCTGTCTGTCTGTCTGTCTGTCTGTCTGTCTGTCTGTGCGTGCAAATAAACCTGCCTCAACGTCTTTGTCCGTAGCCACTAAATCAAAATTGCGTTGCACTCTCTGCTCACATCATTCAAAAGAAAAGGTCCACATTGTCCCCTGATAATGTCAACAGACATTGGTCTTAGCAACTGGCTGAATGTAAAGGAGGACTGAGTAAAATTGTTTCTACTTTATAATTAATGTTTTCAACTCACAGCAATACAACTTTTCAATGAGTACAATTGTTTGTATTCAATACTTTATTATTATAATTTTCCATATCTGCAATGCCTGTATTTTGGCATTTTTTTGCAGTCCACTTAGAATCCAAGTTGGAAATATTTTTTTCTTTATTGGCATTGATTGTTTTGAAATTCAAATGTCATTAATATGCCTGTGTTTTAATTTCTGTAATAAATATGTCTGTCAAGCCAGGATCTTGATGGTTTATTGTGGGTTTGTTGTTTACATGAAGAAATCTGTGTTACAAGTTAAACAAAAATTCTAATAAACAATTATAATTTGAATTTAAATAGTTTTTGTCTTGCGTTTACATTAATTTCACATTTTTATAGCCAAAATTACAAGTTTCAGTCTTTTAAATGTGATTAATCGAGATTAATTTTAATTTTTATTTTTTTTGACCTTTAAGAATACAGCATTGAAATCAATGTTGTATGGATCTTGTTTGGAAGACATGGGATTGAGTACTATAAGTCATCCCAGTGTTTATTTTTTGGGTCACTTTTATTGCTATTACTTGCATAACAATCAGAATCTGATGTTCAAGACAGCACTGTACTGTGTATATGAAACATGTTGATAATGCATCAACCGTGTATGCAAATAGCAAAAACTCCCGGTCACTTTTTTTCTTCTTGCATGTGTTTCTAATCAACAAAGGCGGGTGCTGTAAACCTCCAGTCCACTCACTCTCAGCGGCTCAGTTTACAGTCGCTTTCAGCAGTCTCTGGGGATGGGAAAAAGTCTGAATTTCACACACTGACAGAGAGGTGGTGGGTGATGGGGCCTCGTTTTACAAATCAGACTTTAAAGGTGTTGCCTGTTTGGCCCCCGAGGGCTGGAATGGGAAATGCAATGGAGCTCAAACTCAAAAAATAAAAATGACAGCAAATCTCCACAGAATTTGATCAGCCAGACGTGTGGCCCACGAACCAAAAAAAAAAAAAAATCAAATAATAAAGGGTTTAAGAGTAAAATGAGTGGGATATAAAAACAACAAACAGCATATGCCACAGAGAAGGGTGCCAAAGAGACTCGCAGGAGAGCTAAACCTGCCAGCAAAGACTGATGGGGAAAAAACACTGTCACATGAAACCTCAGAGGAGGAGCTCTGGTCTCCTTTCAACATCTTCCAGAAGGCCAAGCCATTTAACTGGACCTGCCATATTTTTTCTTCTGGAGAAAGCCTTTTTTTCTTATTTTTCTTTTTTCTTTTAGTGTGGCTGGATTAAAATAAATAAACTGCTAAGATCAATATTGGTAAGAAATGTGCAACTTCAAATCAGAAAAAGTGACAGTATGGAAAACGCAAATGACTTGTGTTTCATTGCAGACAATACGAACAAAATATTTCATGTTTAGTCTGGTCAGCTTCATTTCATTTGTAAATATACATCCTTTCCTGTCATTCAGACCTGCAACACATTCCAAATAAAGTTGGGACAGGAGCAGTTTAGGGTTAGCAATCAGGTACACTGGTTAAATAATGATGTGATGTGAAACAGGTGATGTCAACAGGTGATTGTAATTATAATTTGGTAGAAAAGCAGAAAGGTCTTGTCCTTTAGGAGCAAAAATGTGCTGAGGATCGCCAGCAAATACATGAGAAAACTATTGGAATGTTTAAAAACAATGTTCCCCAAAGAAAGATAGGAAGACATTTGGATATTTCACCTTCAACAGTGCAGAACATCATTGAAATTCCTCCAGATTCCTTGAATCTTTTAGTGCGTAAAGGACAAGGGCTCCAGCCTAAGCTCAACAACAGTAATCTTCAAACCTTCAGGCAGCACTGCATCAAGAATCCTCATTCATCTATAAACGATATCACCACAGGAATACTTTGGCAAACCTTTGTCAAGTACCACAATACATAGTTACGTCCATGAATGCCAGTGAAAACTGTATTAGAAGTCTGCAATAAATTTTCGAATAAATCGCGGGAGCGGTCGGTAACAGGTTTAATTTGGGACGGGAGCGGGCTGTCTAGCAATATTGCGGATATTGCTATGCGAATGAGAGAGAGAGAGAGGGAGAGAGAGAGCTTTCCCAGATAGCAAAATGCACTCGGGCCAGTTCCGGCTAGATTCTTGTCTGCCAGAGACTTACCACTCAGTCCGGCTCCGGCTGCCGGACTCCGGATGCTTGTGGACTCACTGCCCGATTCCGGCCCGAATCAGCCCGTAATGTGCGCTGCGGCCCGGAGCTGGCGCGACTCAGTACCTTTATATAAAACCTTTTGGTATTACATTTGTACTTGATACATGGTATTACAAGCCTTTGAGTTGATATAACAGCAAACGCCTGTGTTTCTGCTTGGTGCTTGTGTGTGTGTTAGTGCGCGCACGCGCGTATGAGAGAGAGAGAGAGCTTTGTCAGTGTGTGTTTGCTTGGTGCTGTGTGTGTGTTTATACAGACAGCTTGGCTGTCTGGACTGTATAGCTGGGGGATTTTCGGTTTTGTTCTCCCCCGCTCTTTAGCGGGATCGGGCGCGGCGGGCAGAAAACGGTGTGGGTCGGGCAGCGGGACAATAAATTCTTAATATAAGTGGGAGCGTTCGGGTTTGGGCTAAAACCTGGCGGGTGCGGGCGGGAGCGGGATTCAAAATGTAGTCCCGCGCAGATCTCTAAACTGTACTGTGCCACAAGTAAGCCCTATGTTAACAGTGTCCAGAAGCGTTGTCAACTTCTCTGGTTTCTGAGGCATCTGGGATGGATCATCACACAGTGGAAACGTGTACTGTGGTCAGATGAATCAGTATGTCAGGTATTTTTCAGAGAAATGGACGCTGTGTGCTCTAAACTAAAGAAGAAAAGGATCATCCAGACTATTACAGGCAACAAGTCCAAAAGCCAGTCTCTGTCATGGTATGGGGTTGTGTCAGTGCCTTTGGCAAAGGTAACTTGCACTTCTGTGATGCACCATTAATGCTGAAAAGCACATAGAGATTTTGGAGCACTGTATGCTGAATTTTTTTCCAGGGACACCCATTTATATTTTAACAAGACCATACAAAACCACATTCTGCACACATTACAGTCCTGGCTGTGGAGGAAGAGGACTGCCCGCCTGCAGTCCTGACCTGTCTACAATAAAGAATGTGTGATGCAATTAGAAGTGCACTGTTCTGGAAATGTGAGCGTATCAGCTCAAATTTAATTTTATAATGCATCATATTTGCATATTTACACAAAACTTCAGGAAAAAAGCAATATAAAGCTGTTGTCTTAAGTTGGGAAAAATATGGTGACAACTATGAGAATTACGTTTTACCACTTGCAAACAGACAGTTCAGCCAAAAATCAAGATTGGACTTCAAATAAAGGATCATACACAGTTTTACTACTAAAATGTTATGGCTTTTCAAGGACTTTCAAGTAAATTTTCATGTACTACCATTTCATGTAATGCACAGGTGTCAAACTTAGTTCGTGGAGGGACTCATCTCTGCACAGTTTAGTTCCAGCCTTAATTAAACACACCTGATCAAACGTATTAAGTCCTTCAGGCTTGTTTCAAACCTACAGGTAAGTGTGTTGAAGCAGGGTTGGGACTAAACTGCAGAGCTGCGGCCCTCCACAAACTGAGTTTGACACCCCTGATGCAATATCTATGTATACATGGTAAATACTAAGAAAAGCAATGCACGTTCAAATTTACTACAGCGTTTCATAAAACATGCAACAGTTTTTTTGTTTAAATTTATTTTATATCTATGTAATATAATTTATATAATGCTTACACTGCGCTAATAATGTAAGAGCATGTTTTTGGCCAATGACAGAAAAGAAAGAGTTAAAGACAACTAACCTCAACTAACCTACATTCAAGTGTACAGATAAGTGTTAAACTAATTTACATGACTTTTTCAAAACTTTGTGGGTTTCTCTGTTTTTTCCAAAACTTTTCCAGGACTGGAAAACGGCAGGTCAAAATTCCAGGTTTTCCATGACCGTATGAACCCTGTCAAATGATTCGCTTTAATGCTTAAACTCTCGGGAGTGGAGGGAAAATGTGACTTACGTGATAATTCGATCCCATCCTCGTCGCCGTTTTTGGCTTTGGCTAAAGAGTTTTCCAGAATCTGCGCCGTGCAGATGATGATGTCATTTTTCTCGATGATTTGTGGGAAGGAGATTTTGAGCTGTGAGGCACCGCTGACCCGCTCCACTGAGTATTGGTGCTTTAAAAACCTCCCGAACTCGGCCTTGTAATGCTGCTCAACCAGCGGGACCTGGACAGAAGTGTATTTGTCTTTTTAAAGGGGTAGTTCACACAACAATTTAAAAACTGACTTACTATTTATTCTCCCTGCAAGTTGTTTTAGTTACAACTGTTGAACACTAAACCTGTAATCATTGACTTCCTTAGTAGGATAAACAAATACTATGGAAGTTAATGGTTACAGATTTCCAACATTCCTAAAAATGTATTCAGGTGTTCAACAGAAGCTAGAAGGTTTGAAACAAGTAAAGGGTGAATAAATGATGACAGAATTTACATTTTTTTGGTGAACTATTTCTTTAAGTTAATATTTCTTTGAGTTTTCTGAATGCTTTCACTGCCACGCAGATGATACTCAATTCACCCTAATGTTTACGTTCATAATATTTATATTATTTGCTCATTAATAACCTTATGTGGAACTCTGAATCTGTGTCTCATTTCGGAGTAGGCTACTGTCCACCAGAGGTCCCATCTCGGTCACGGACACATACTTTAAGAGCATTTCTGACTGAATTAATCAAATACGCTGTTTTCCACCAAGGCAACCCGGTGTGCTGAAAAATAATTGGCTAAACTGGCATTGGGCAGGTTAAATGACTAAAACAACGACAGCCGTTCTGGCACGTAACACACATTTTTAAAGCAGAATATCTTCAGCAATGTTTTCCAGATAAACAAGAATGTTCACTCAGCATGTTTCTTAAATATCTGCAAACATATACTATGGTATTTATACGCTTTGCAAGAGTCAAACACTTACAGCACCTTTAAGGGTGCTTTCACATCTGTAGTTCGCTTCATTTGGTCCGGACCAAGAGTAATAACTGATACATTGCTGCATTTTCTACCGTCTTTGGTGTCGTTTTCACACCACACTGCTGGCTTTGGTCCGAACCAGTTGAAACGAACCAAAATGCAGTCATCTGACAAAATCCACATCTCTCATTGGCCAGATGTTGTTGAACATATTTCCTAAACTGCTTATTGATTGGTCAGAATTCATGTGCGGGAAAATGCCAATGAACTCCCGCAAGTAAACAAAACCTTTTACTCTGGAGGGACGACTGCGCTGCTGATTGTATCCCTGCTTTAGACAAACTATACATTACGAAAATGAAGCGCAGCTGTGGCTGGAAAACAGTGTTTAATGCGTCGCTCATTACTTCAGGAGGAGGCGTGAATTAATTTAGCTAGACTGTGACATGGTCATCTTGCGTAAATATTACCAACGATCCATCAGGTAATGTTTTCCCCTCTCTCTCTCTGTTGGTAAAGCGCTGTAAACAAATATTTTTCCTCCATATCCCATAATGCACAGCGCATCGACCTACGGCAGCTGAATTTGTCCAAAACGCGCAGTACTTTTTGCGGTTGGACCTGTTTTTGTACGGATCATATTCTCACCACAAACAAACCGCTCCAGGGTTCGTTTGAAAGCGTATCGAGACCACCTCTTCAAGCAGGTCTCGGTACGCTTATTTGGTCTGCTTTTGGTGCGCACTCGAGTACGATTGCTGCATTCACAGCAGGGTAAACGAACTCTAGTGCGATTCAATCGAACTAAATAAGGCAGGTGTGAAAGCACTCTAAGTTAACTTTTTACAAATTTTAACAAAGTTAAGTGGATTTAACATAAAACAATTAAGTTGTTGCAAAAAAAAAACACTTAAGAATTGTGTTTCAGCTTATTTTATATAAGTAGTTTGAACAAACAGAAACATCCTTTTTTATTGTAAATAAGGTGGTTTCTAAAGTTCTCTACATGGCATTTTTTGTAATTTTTTATTTATTTATTTCGTCTGTTGTTTCTCCACAGGACACTAGCGTTTAGAGAAAACCTGAGGTGCTGAGCTGAAGGTTTGCACCACATGTTTGCTGATGTGGATGTCTTAACAAGGTTGGTAAAGTTTTGCATTTCAAGACATGATTCAGCAGGACAGAAAGTCTCTGCTGCTTCAGCAAACCCTCAAATCATCATCTCATATCTGCTTTCTTTTGCAGACACAAAATGTGTTGATCTATTCAAACATATTAATAGGAAGAGATTCATTTTATTGCTCTAAAGTTGTTCCTTCTTACACATCAGAAGAGTCCTCAGCAGAGTTTCATGTTAATATCAATAAGCAAAAATATATTTGTTCAACATGTAAGTTTAAAGTGTGAGGAATCATTTGAGAAAGCGGGATAGAGTCATGGATGGATGACGTCAAACTTTGGGCATTTTTCTTCTGTGTTTGGCACGTCTTCATTGTCGTTTAGTGTAACATGACAGCTTTGATCTTACAGTCTGCCATGGATGCCATGTTTGTGTAGTCTGATATGCTACAGTCATTTAGGATTGTAAAAAAAAACAGTGTGAGCCAGCTTTAATGTACATGTTGGTGATATTCATCATTTACACTGAGCAGAAGAACTGCTGAGAGATTTCAGCTGCTGTCTGGGCTTTCACTGCCTTTCTACACCTCCCTTTCTTCATGTGTTCAACACTTTTTCCCTGCGTCACTTCATTTTATTACACATAACTTCATTTGTAAAATATTAGTATTCTTTGGTTGTTACCAACATCCAGGGAAAATGTCAAGTCAACATTGCCTTTAGAAGTAGGTTCTCTGAGAAAAATCTAAGAAAATTATTCCCACTGTATATAGCTCAGAAAAACTAAATATTGCAATGTCAGTTTTTCCAATATCATGCAGCCATAAGTCTAATCTAATCAATTTTTTTTTGTAAATGGCAAATTCTTCTTCTTCTTTGTGTGTGTGTGTGTGCGCGTGCGTGGAAGATGGATGTCAGTGCACCACCTTGTTGACCAGGACGACCACTTTCCCCTTCTGCCCCATCCGCTGCTTCCTCTCCAAATGCTCTTTGGTGATAAACACTGCGACCCTGGTCTTCCCGGATCCGGTGGGCAGGCAGACAATGATGTTCTTCTCCTCCAGAGCAGGTCTGGCCACCTCCATCTGATAGTCCCGCAGTTTAATTTCCCTCTTACTTGCTAAGAGAGAAAAAGAGAGATGGAAAGACATGGTGATCCTCCAGTGAGCGTATGTGATTGGCTTCAGCATCAGTGCAGAGGAGGTAGTGTGTGTTAAGTTGAAACCAAAATTATTACCCCTCTTGTGAATTTTGTATTCTTTTTTAAATTTTTCCCAAATGATGTTTAACAATGTTCACAGTATGTCTGATAATATTCTTTCTTCTGGAAAAGTCTTATTTGTTTTTTTCGGCTAGAATAAAAGCAGTTTAAAATTTTTAAAATCATTTTAAGGTTAAAATTATTAGCCCCTTAAAGCTAAATTGATCGTCTACAGAACAAACCATCGCTCTATAATTCATTCATTCATTTTCTCGTCAGCTTAGTCCTTTTATTAATCCGGGGTCGACACAGCAGAATGAACCACCAACTTATCCAGCAAGACTTTTAAGCGGCGGATGCCCTTCCAGCCCCAATCCATCTCTGGGAAATTGTTATAAAATGATTTGACTAATTACCCTAACCTGCCCAGCTAACCTAATTAACCTAGTTAAGCCTTTAAATGTCACTTTAAGCTGAGTATCTTGAAAAATATCAAGTTAAATATCAGGTCATAGAATCTGTCATCATGGCAAAAATAAAACAAATCAGTTACTACAAATTACAAGTAAAAAAAAAAAAAAACAATAGATGCGTCCCAAATCGCATACTTATGCACTATTCTACGGCGTTTTGTAGTATAAATAGTGTAAGTAGTGTGTTCACACTGAAAACTCTAAAAATAATAAGTGCACTTTAATTACCCGGATGATGCACTCATTCAGCTGCTAAAATGAAGTGTGTAATGATGGACACTTCACGCACTCAACGACCGCAGGTTTGCTTACGTAGCGGAAGGGGCGGAGCTTTCGGACGCACATGTTGAATAACTTTATTTATTTTGGATGTTGAACGCAAAATTCTCCTACGAGAGTGATTATAGCGCCTCCCGATGGTGAATGCGGTTATACTCACGGCAGGTATTATTTGATAATTCGGTCGTTTATTTCACTGATTTTGCAACCGTCAAACGTCATCAGGGAAACGGTTTGAATTTCTGCTTAGTAAAAAAACAGTGTGCCATTTGGGACAACACTACATACATATACTATCCTGTTGAGTGTGTAAGTGCATTAGTGTATAGTGTGCCATTTGGGACGCAGCTTGTTATGTTTAGAAATGTGTTGAAGAAATCTTCTCAGGAAATGGGGAAGTAATATACTGAGGGGCTAATAATTCATCTGTGTGTGTGTGTGTGTGTGTGACTTTCGGTGGGGCAGACGGAGGTTTAATTAATGCAATTAAAGCTGTGTTTTCTTTATCTCCTGCTAGTTAGAATAACATTGGTGTTTTATGGACTCTCTAAAGCTCATGCAGAATGTCTGTAAGCGCGTACTCACACTATGCACAGTTGCCTTGAACTGGTCCAAAGCATGCTTGTCCCCCCTTCCGTCTCCCCCGACGGCCCGCACTCACATTACATTTGGGCCTGGGCACGCTTAAGTCATCGACGCTTTGTGTTCAGTAAGCACTTTCACTCAGCACAGTGGAGATATCTTAAGTTATATCGGTTTAAGTCGTTTGATATGCGGTGACACCCTGTCAAATATTTCACCAAACAGATCAGCCACTTTTGACGCTCATAAACAATCATTAAGTCCTCATGCTGCAGGTATTTTTAGGTTTGCTGAAGGTGCAGATGTGGTGCAGTGAGCGGTTTGCGTCTTAAATAACCTACGACAGTTTGCGTTCATTAAACAGTAAGAATGATTAATAATCCATATGAAATAGTCCCTTAAAAGTCATGTCGTGTCTTCAGTTTTGGGCTCTGGCGCATTTTACACTCACACACAAGCCTACCGCGCCTGAGCCCGAGAACCGCGTTCTGGCACACTTCTTCCAACCGGGCCAGGGCCGGCCAAGTGAACCATGCCTGAGCCCGATTCAGAGCACTCACACTTCTCAAACGATCCAGGAAACGGGCCTGGGCACGGTTTGGATAGCATAGTGTGAGTACGCCCTAAGACACAAAACCTCTGACGAACATGTAGAAATCATAAAAACCTCCCACTTCCCTGCTGAAAAATCCAGCTTAAACCAGCCTAGGCTGGTTGGCTGGTTTTAGCTGGTCAACCAGGCTGGTTTTAGAGGGTCAAGCTGGTTTTTGCTGGATTTAGCTGGTCATTTTCCAGCCTGACCAGCTAAGACCAGGCTGGAAATGGCTGGAAACCAGCCTGGAAATGGCCAAAACCCCTCTAAAACCAGCCTGGTCGACCAGCTAAAACCAGCCAACCAGCCTAGGCTGGTTTAAGCTGGATTTTTTAGCAGGGTTTATATTAAGGGGCCATAACTAATATGCACTTACACTGAAATTGGTCATTAGTTACAATTAGGGCCAGACAGAATCTGCAGACAATTTTTTGCAATTTCTGGGGAGAATTTCGTTGAAAATCTGTGGAGTTATGAAGAATGATTTTGGTATCGTAACTAAAACCTTAATATATGAAATAAAAAATAATAGCTTTTTAACTTTTATTTAATTTATACAATGCAAATCTCTCTAGATCCAGTTGATTTGGTAAACAAAGCAAGTCTCTTATATAATATGTCTACTTAAATGACAAAAAATATTACTGTACAAACTGTATTGTAAATAAATCATATACATATTTTCATATTAGACAATAAATATACTGAAATGGCGATGCAGTGGTGCTGTAGGTAGTGCTGTCGCCTCACAGCAAGAAGGTCGCTGGTTCGAGCCTCGGCTCAGTAAGCGTTTGTGTGTGGAGTTTGCATGTTCTCCCTGCGTTCGCGTGGGTTTCCTCCAGGAGCTCCGGTTTCCCCCACAGTCCAAAGACATGCGGTACAGGTGAATTGGGCAGGCTAAATTGTCCGTATGAGTGTGTGTGTGTGAATGTGTGTGTGAATGTTTCCCAGAGATGGTTTGCGGCTGGAAGGGCATCCGCTGCGTAAAAAAGTGCTGGATAAGTTGCCGGTTCATTCTGCTGTGGCGACCCCGGATTAATAAAGGGACTAAACCAACAAGAAAATGAATGAATGAATTATACTGAAATTTAAAAATTGAATGAATTTAAATTTACACACATTTACCCAAGTAAATAAAGAGAATCAATGACATGCACGCAGATTCCGTGTGGGCCTGGTTACAGTACCTATTGTGTAAATACATGTTTTACATAGTGCTTTTGCATTTTTTTAATTTATTCTAACAGAGATTTCCTCAGGATTTGCCGATTATCCTGTGTTATTGTACAGGGTGGGCCATTTATATGGATAAACTTTAATAAAATGGGAATGGTTGGTGATATTAACGTCCTGTTTGTGGCACATTAGTATATGTGAGGGGGAAAACTTTTCAAGTTTTCTTTTTAACGTAACTTTAATCTTTCATGAGTTATTTACAAGTTTCTGACCACTTGTAAAAGGTGTTCAATGTGCTGCCATTGTGTTGGATTGTCAATGCAGCCCTATTCTCCCTCTCTTCACACACTGCTAGCAACACCACAGGAGAAATGCCAGCACAGGCTTCCAGTATACGTAGCTTCAGGTGCTGCACATCTTGTATCCTCATTTCTAAACGTAATACTTCTACAAACGTATCTCTAATGACTGATTTATTTTATCTTTGTCATGATGACAGTAAATAATATTTTACTAGATTTTTTAAGACACTTCTATACAGCTTAAAGTGACGTTTAAAGGCTTAAGTAGGTTAATTAGGTTAGGCAGGTTAGGGTAATTAGGCATGTTATTGTATAACAGTAGTTTGTTCTGTAAACTATCGAAAAAAAATAGCTTAAAGGGGCTAATAATTTTGTCCTTAAAATGGTGTTTAAAAAATTAAAAACTGCTTTTATTCTAGCTGTAATAAAACAAATAAGACTTTCTCCAGAAGAAAAAATATTATCAGGCATACTGTGAACATTTCCTTGCTCTGTTCAACATCATTTGGGAAATATGTAAAAAAGAAATCAAAGGGGGGCGAATAATTCTGACTTCAACTGTATAACGTATCCACTATAAATGATGGGTTGTAATTTTGGGCAAAACCAAGCCAGTGGGTTAAAATTTTAAATTAATTGAAACAAATTAACCCATAATATGGGTTTGTCCATATTTAACCCACTGTTGGGTTAACACCACCTAACATTTTATAGTGTATGCACACAAAATGTATTAATTTATTTGAATTATTATTTTTTGTTAGCATATTTATACACATTTAGCATATTTACTTACTCCCAGGGCCATTTGAAGTTTGATATTTAGCCGCACCATATATGGGTTGTTAAACCCAAAGCTGGAGGACCAGGACATACACACATACACTACGGACAATTTAGCTTACACAGTTTACCTACAGCACATGTGTTTGGACTTTAGGGGAAATCGGAGCACCCGGAGGAAACCCACGCCAACATGGGGAGAACATGCAAACTCCACACAGCCGGGGCTCAAACCAGCATCCTTCTTGCTGTGAGGTGACAATGCTACCTCCTGCACTACCTTGTCGCCCATAGCATATTTAATGTGATCTTATTTGACATATTTCTCTGTCTGTATGCAATTATAATTAATTTATTTTAGGATTTTCAATATAATAATCATTAAAATAAAACATAAAATAATTACAAATAAATTAATCAGTAATAAATAATACATATATACAGATAAAAACTTTTCATTCCACATTTTCTTGGCTTTATGGGATGAAATGCAACCTGGATGTGTCATGTAAACATTATTTTTTAATAGCCTGTAGCTCTTGGTGGTATTTAGACTGATCGAATGAATTAAAGTGGAAATTCCACACTATCCAAACACCGAAATCTCACTCAGGTCTGTGTGTGTCCAGTTACACATCTGCACGTGGTTTGCAGAGAAAGGCAGAATTCAAACAGGGTTAAACAAAGAAAGAGTCTGCTGGGTCTGGAGGAGCAATTACCCCAAACAGCAGA